GCCGCAGAACCCGAAAGGTGAATGCGGTTTAACTTGTGTCGTCGTCCTTTACTTGACATTTAAATTTAGTTTACTCCTATGAACATTCCTCATGCCTAAAGCGGAGGGCAATGCCAAGATAAAATCGTCAGAGGGAGTTAAAAACCCCTCCACAACCCCTTCTACACAGTGATTAACTCTCGTTGAAAATCCTCCATATTCCTACGGGCGAACATTGTTCGAAAACTTTTAAATCCTGTCCCCCAACCCTTAGCTCCCCTGAATGAAAAAATAGTGGGGAGGGCTAAATCTCTTCCATAATCTTTTACGTTTCTGGGGAGAAGATTTGAAGACTGAGTTTAACTCTCATTCACAATCTTTCTCGAGTCCTTCTACGCTCAAAAGGGGCTGTAATACGAGTAAAAACTCCCAAAATAATTTTACTCAAAGAGGGCTAAGGTTTAAGAACTTGCGTCAGGGCTAGACTAACTGTAGAAATAAATGTGTAGTATAGTCCTACCGCCAGCTCTTAACCCTCAAACCAGTAAGGGAAAATTATTATGGAAGGAAGGTTTTACTAATATTACAAACCTTTTTGAACGTAAAAGGCCGAATGGAAGATTATGGATGAGAGTTAAACTTCCTCTACAAATCTTCTCCCTTAGGAGGTAAAGGTTTATGGATTAGAATTAATCCTCCATTTTTAATTTAAGTGAGTCCACGGTCGAGGACAAGACTTAAGGTTCTTCGAACAATCTTTGAATAATAAAATCTCCCTGGTATTATGCTCTGCTTTAAGTGAGAAAAACTTGGAGATAGGAGTTAACTAAATAAAAATGTGCAAGAAAAAAGGATAAAAGTTGAATAAACAACTAGTCTTTAAAACCGTGCCCATTTTCTCATCATTATTACTTGTTTTTGCTTATTAACTTAATTGACTATATGAATAAATAATCCTAGGGAGGGAGGGTGGAAGAGTAATCTTCCTCCCTACTACCTCCTTCCTACGGAGAGGAGGAGGGAGGGTGGAAGAGTAATCTTCCTCCCTACTACCTCCTTCCTCGCATTTGTATATTGTTGTCTAGTTTTTGAGGTGTATATACAAATGCGAAAAAGGACGTTTGAGGGATGAAGATGGCAGTTACTTTCTATACCTACTTTATCTAATGTTATATTAATGGACCAGGACACAGGTTTTGGCTGCACAGAATCTGGTTGTGCAGTTTGTTTTATATCTCCTTGTTAAGTAGTTTAGCTATTGAATATTGCAGAAGGTTTTAAGAGCTGGTTGTAATAACTTCTTTAATTAGCTCTGACGCCTTCTTTACAGTAGAAAGGTTTTGCAAAATTTTACTGTGTATTTTACTTTGAGACATGGCTTATGAAGAAGCCTTATTGTGGTAAAAACAAGATGAAGATTGTTTTAAGTTTAATAATACGTGTAAAAAGTGTCGCTTAATTTATACCAATGACTTCATTTAAATTAGGTCGAATTTTAATGCTTTGAAGTATTGTAGCCCATTTCCTTGCCTGATCCCTCTAATCTCTGCATGCCTGTTGACAAGATAAATCATTGATTATTTAAAAGGCAAGAAATTGTAAGTATTGAAAATTCGAGAACTGCGCAGTTATGTGCTAATTTAAACACCATACTTAAGAAAGAACGAGTGTAATAATTCAAGAACTCCGTCAAATTTTCTTTGTTTTTGGACTTAAACAAATCATCTTGTAAGAACTTCACAACATTTTTTCTTTAGAATGAATATTGAGTTTTCTTTGTGCAAGACATTTCAACCAACAATTGAGTTTCCATGAATCGTTGTTTGCGTGACTCTTAAAGCCTACAATTACGACATTCCACCCTGGTATTAATTTGGAAATTTTTCATATATTTTCAGTGAACATCATAGTCATTATGTAGCAATTGAAAAACATGCTAAGTCGAGCTGTCACAAATCTGAAAAGACTTTTAATCTGATTAATGGGGTTTTACTCCAACAAAGCACTGAATCGACACGAAATCCACAGGATATGCCACAAGAACCTGTAGGTTATTTAAAATCTGACAGTAAACACCAAAGAGTTCCCTTTTGGACTGAAAAATGTACATTTTTTGAACCTACTCTGTAACAATGAATACAGTCAGCTTTGGTCAAATAACATGCAACTGGAAATTGGCA